GTGTTAAAAAGCAGAGGTCTCTTTGAGGACCAAGGTACGCCTGATCCAACCCAAGATATTCCCAACTGCCTCACACACGTGCAAAAGCTGGACATCAATAAGGAAGACCAACAAAGAATTGATGCACTAGAACTATGGTATTGGTGAAGAATATTGAATATACCATGGGCTGCCAGAGGAATTAACAAATCCATCCAGGAAGAATTACAGACAGGATGCTCTTTAGAAGCAAGAATGGCAAGACTTCGTCTCACATACTTCGGACACATTATCAGGAGGGCCCGGTCCCTGGAGAAGGACATCATGCTTCCTCAAGGAGAGGGTCAGTGAAAAAATGAAAATCCTCAATAAGATAGATTGACACAGTGGCTGTAACAATATAGGTTCAAACATAGAAACAGTCGTGAGGATTGTGCAGGATAGGGCAGTATTTATTTCTGTTGCACATAGGGTCGCTATGAGTCATAACCAAGTCACCAGAACTATAAACAACAACAAATAATAAACACACTCAAATAAGCAATCCTAGGAATTTACCCTGAAGATATATCTCCAACTACATAAAAATACATATTCATAAAGTATTTCACTGCAGCATTATTGCAAAATATTAGAAGGAACATAAAAGAGAGTGAATAAGTAAGTTAATACAATAATGTATTCTGTATGCTTACAAAAGTAAATAATTGAATAAATAAACTGGGGAAGAATAGAAAGTTCTTTCCATCATAGAATATCATGGAATTATAATTAATAAATATAAAAGCAATGATGGAGTTAGAAAATCACGATTTGGCAAGCATTCAGTAATAACTGTTTTGGCAAACACCCAATAAAGTTTTAGGAAAAAATCATCAAAGGATGCTAAAATCATGTATGAAAGTATAATAAAAAGAGGGTATTTTCATAATGTCATATTATCTCCCCACAGGATACTGATTAATTACTGTGGTACAGTGAATTAATGTGGCTCTTCTAGCCACGGTCTCTGTGATTTCCAAAAGTTGAATGGGTGGGACTATGCAAATGTGAGGTGCTAGTGGCCCACCGAGGGGACTGGATAGCTTGCTAGCAAGGTAAATAAGGTACATGGCACCTTTGTGGGGTGAGACCATGGACATAAGGTAGATGGAACCCTAACATGGGGATTAGTCAGTTTTGCCTTTAGCTATGCTTAAAATGGGGAGCTCTGGTGGCGTAGTACCTAAGGCATTTGACTGCTAACCAGAAGGCCGGCAGTTCAAACCCACCAGCTACTCCTCAGAAGGAAGACTAGGCAATCTACTTCCACAGAGATACAGCCTTGGAAACCCAAGAAGGGGTCACTATGAGTTGGAACTGACTTGACGGCATTAGAAGCTTAAAATGAGCCATCCAAGAGGTGGCAAAGGGTATCCCCTTACCAAAAAATGGAAGAATCACCAGTAGTGGAGTGTGTCCTTGGACCCAAGATCCCTGCACTGTACCTCCTTGGCAGAGAGAAAGAGACAGCGGCAGCAGAAGTAGAACCAACAGAATCAAAAGGCCGCATGAGACAGAGTGGCGGGAGCGGAACAAGAAAATTGAGTGCCTTTGGGCAGGAGGTTTGCTGGTAGAGTGGGGTGTACCTAGTGGCAGAGCTGAAAGAGCTTTGTAACACTTGCATGAGCAATGCAGAGGCCAGGCTGAGACACTGAAAGACAAACATTGGTGTGTTTATGGGCAAAGCCAAGGGGAGGTTATCCTCATCAAAGAATCGTACCCTGAGCATTCCTGAACCTGAATTGTAACCTGTAACTTCCCTAATAAACCTCATAATCGTATGTACTATCGTCTGTGAGTTCTGTGTGGCCATTACTACAAGTTATTGAACCCACCAGAGAAGTAGAGAGTGCTGTGGGAGGGACAGTTGGTGTTAGAATTAGTAAAAAGTGTTGGATGGTGGTTGCATGTCTGACCTCTGCCCTGTAGGAATTAGCCTTGGGCTGATGCTGCTGATGGTGATTCTGTCTCCCCCCATGAAGTTAGAAGGGGTCTGACAAAGATGCAGCCACCACTGCACCCTTTTTTTTATGATTCCTGAAGGAATCAGAATAAAGTTAATGAGGGAGAAACCTGGAAGACACTACCTTAACCAAGTGATCTAAAATAAAATCACCAGTAATAGGACAAACCAATATAATGTCCCTCTTGATATGATATACAGAGAAGGACACATCACTTCTGTGGTATTTATGCTCAAAGTGTACTACTGGAATTTAATCATGAGAAAATATTATACAAATCTAGACTGAGGGACATGATATGAAGTAGCTTGCAGGTACACTACAAAAGAGAAATCGGAAAGAATTATGTAACAAAGATGATGTATAGGTCAGATTCCCTAAAAAACAGATTTTGAGATAGATATTATCATCCAGAAAGTTTATCCAAGAGTGTCCTTGGAATGAAGATCTGTGCATGTAGATTTGACAGAAAGAGAAGCTGAGTTGCAGTGCAATCAAATAAAAAGGACTTTGCCAATTTAGGTTGAGCTCTGAAGCTGTTGTTGTTGTTAGGTACCATCAAGTTGGTTCCAACTGATAGTGACCCTATTGTACAATAAAATAAAACACTGCCTGATCCTGGGCCATCCTCACAACTGTTGCCATGTCCCAGCCCATAGTTCCAGCCAATTAGGGTGAGGGGCTTAGGCCCTTATACCCCTGCATCTATTAAATGCAGCTGTCCCACCCAGAATAAGGTGTGACTGTGGGTGAGATAGTTCCCTTCACTTGAGGGCAATAGCAGCGTGAGGATCTATGGTGCACAGAACAGTGTTCTGGTTACCAAGTGCCGCTCTGACAGGAATGTACCACCAAATGGGATGGCATGAACAAACAGTTTATTCTCTTACAGTTTGGGAGGCTAGAAGTCTGAGTTCAAAGTGCCAGGCTCTAGGGGCTGGGTGAAAGCCCCTCAACCTTGGGCTTCAGCTCTGCACCTTGCTCCTGGCCCACTGAAGCTAGAGGCATCTCTTCATCCAGACAGCTACTGGCTGCTGAGACTAACAAACCTAAGGTCGACAAATAACATGGCACAGTCCCGATATTATCAAACCACATGGCAGGCCATAATTCAAGTCCACTGAAAGTCCCAAGGTTGGCAGAGCATAGTAGGCTGCTGAACAATGACACAGCTATACACAGGGTTCGAGCATGCCATAAGTTAGAGACCATCCCCAAAGCTATTTCTTATATACAGGAAGCAGACCACATACCCAAAGGCAACTACTCAGCTGCTCACAGTAGATTCCACCATGGAGTTGATTACCAGTCTCATCATGGGGAGTTATCCAGCTGCCCAGCCACTCAACCAGGTGAGCCAAGATGACACACAAACATAACCACCACAAACAGTGTCCACTATAGATAGAAAGATCAGCTTGACTAAATATCAAAACCTAATATTAGTTAGTAAAATAGTATGGCAATGATACAAGAATAGAAACCTAGAACATAATAAAAAGGCTGAAAATGGAAACACACACGCACACAGGGGCTTGGTATGTGACAAAGGCAACATTACAAATCAGTGATGAATAACTCAATAAACAGTGCTGGAGTAAATGACTATCATAAAATAAATAAGTAAAATTAAGACGCAAGCACCAAAGTCCTAAGTGTAAAAAGACATTGCTATCACTCAACTCTTTCTCTGAGAACTACATTCCTAAACTAGCAAAACCCATGTTTGTTACTATAATGGCAGTCCGCAGCCATAGGTGACTATAGCTAAAGTGGACACTTCCAAATTAGGCCAATCAGATTTTCTCTCACCAGAATTAGAATTAGGACTAAATGATTTTGAATTGTCTATGTTGTTCAACTGATAGGTTCTGTGAATACAGGAACAGAGTCTTTCACAGTGAGTGGTCATGTGCACAGAAAACAGAGCCAGCTTATCCTTCAAAGACAGGCTATGCAGAAAATAATGCAGAAAACAGGTTCTGCAAGATAGACTGCAATGGCTGCCTTATTTACTAATGGTTTCCCATTTTTAGCATCTGAAGTCTGGCGGTCTACTTTTTCTCTGAAATACTCTTAAGATACTTTAAAGCAAGTATTATCTAAAGAATGAGTATTATTTTTATTACTGAGTTTCCTGTCAGGATGGATAGGGAGGAGACAAAGCCCCTGTGGAGAATTATATTGGTGTCAAGAAAGATGATATCCATAGATGACCACACTGGGCCCATTAGGCAAGAAGTGGAATCTATACGAAGGACTATAAGGATTAAGACTCTTCCTCCAAAACTCACCAAATAGAAACACCTACTAAGAATAAATATTTTGTATAGCCAAAAACTGGGAACAGCTCAAGGACAGTGATATATTCATAAAATAGACTACTACTCAGCAACAAAAATAGAAACAAACTACCAAAACATGCAAAAAATGGTTAAATTTCAGAAGTGTGATGCTGAGTGAAAGAAGCCTTACACACACAAAAAAACATATTGTATGATTTCATTTACATAAAGTTCTAGAACAGGCAGTACTGATCCATGATGGAAAATAATCAGAATAATGATTTCCTGGGATGAATTGGGGAGGGCATTTGAGGGAGAGGAGGTAAGGGAACTCCTTGGGTGATAGCCATATTCTATATCTTGATAGAGGTTTGAGTGCACAAGTATACAATTTCATTAGAACTCATGAAATTGTATACTTAAGTTTTAAGTATTTCACTGTATGTAAATTTCACCTCAAAAGGAAAAAAAAAATTGAACTTTAGTTAATCATATGTATGCCTAAGCATTTGGGGCAAATATAACTTGTTTGCAACTTATACTGAAATGTATATTAAAAAGATGGAATACATATATGATAAAGGAGCAAAAATAAAGACTTAAAAATAATGAAGTTGTAGAATCTTGGCAGTGGTAGCTCTACAGGTAATTACTGTAAAATTCTTTAAATTTTTCCATAAGTTTGAAAATTTTAAATAAAATTATGGAAAAAAAATACTTTGTTTCTTACCAACGCCTGGAGTTATTAACAATCACTCCATTATCTATGGAGAAAGTATCTGTTGGTAATCCAGCAATATTCCAAGCTCTAATTTTTACTGGATCACCCAGGGTCTTACTCAATAAAAATTCCTCTGAACATGGGATTTTCTTTTCCTGTAAGAACAACAAAAATCTGATATTTTCTTTAATCTTGTTAATTTAAATATTTTTAAAATTAAAGTATTAATTTAATTGTCGTTGTGTTGTTATGTGCCGTCAAGTCAGATCCGACTCATAGCGACCCCTCCTTGGGTTTCCGAGGCAGTATCACTACGGAAGTAGATTGCCCAACCTTCCTTCCGAGGAGTGGCTGGTGGATTTGAACCGCCAGCCTTCTGGTTAGCAGTCAACTGCCTTAGGCACTATGCTGTTGTTGTTGTTGTTATGTGCCGTCAAGTCGGCCCCGACTCATAGCGACCCCTCCTTGGGTTTCCGAGGCAGTATCACTACGGAAGTAGGATTGCCCAACCTTCCTTCCGAGGAGTGGCTGGTGGGTTTGAACCGCCAGCCGTCTGGTTAGCAGGCAAGTGTCTTAGCCACGCTAGGTATTATTTAATAAGAAAGGAATAGAAAAAAATAGAATTAAACATTGATATATGAAAGTATTTTCCTGATCAAACGGGAAGCTAAAAAAAAAAAAAAAGACTTTATATTTTCAGTGATTTTTCCCTTCTCCCTTCTCTGTCCTTATCGTCATTCTTTCCCCAATACATTCCAAAACATATATTGAATTACTAGAAAAACTTACTAAATATAAAAGCATTACCTTGCACAACTTGCTCCAATTTTGTGTACACATTTGTCGAAAGCCAGACGTGAAAGCACCAAGGTAGGCTATTACTCCCGCAGATACTAAGACATCACCAGTCAAATTTTCATATACTGTCTGAAGGTCGTCTGCAGCTTGAGCCCATCTGTACCATTAACCCCAGGCAAAATAGTTTCACAATAGAGAATCGTGGGAGACAGCGAGAGAAAGAACAAGAGACCTCCAATCCAAATTCTCTGACAAAAAGCTATGAAATGCTGGGCATTTGTTTATATGTAAAATGAGAAGGTTGGGTCTCTTCCAGCTCTGAAATGCTACAGTACATATCTATGATATGTAAACAACAATCCATCTTTCATTATTAAAATATTAGGCATTGATTGCAGGACTTCTTGGTCCTTCAGAATAAGCAAAAACAAACAAACAAAAAAGACCAGCATTTTGCGTAATAATTTTCTCCAGGATGATTTGATCTAGTGGCCTTGTTATTTGTTTCAGAATTTATTGTTAGGCTATAAAACATAGGAACATTTATTTTCAGTTTATTATCAAAAATTATACACAATTTCTATAGAAGCTGACATACTAATGCTAAAGTTGCTATTTTCTCCATTTAATGCAACTCCTATAATAAAAAAGTACATTCTAAAATCATCTAATCAGCACTACAAAATATTGTTAAAGACATAATTACTTTATCATGCTATCCACTAAACAAATATAATTAATAAATGAAATAGCTGGCTCGGCAGTCTCAATAAAGAAATTATAATAAAGGTAATTGGTGTTAGATACTTCCAGCTCTATGTTCTTTGAAATAAATTTTAACCAAATGAGCCATACATTGACTCACCCCCAAATATTATGAAAAAATTTGAACAGACAGAAAAAAAGGAAAGAATTGCATAATGAATATCTAAATATTCACCACTTATATTAAAAAATAATCACTGCCTCATTTGCCCCCTTTTTTTTGGTGCTGCAAGCACCACCATCATTGATGTTGATTGACATTCCTATTTTAGAGGCCAGGCTGAGTGCCATGCAGAATATGCAACATTCTCAACCAGTCATTTAAATATCAATAATTGTAATAAATACCCCAAAAGGTCACATATTCAAGCCTGACATTCTTAAATCTTGAGAAAATGAGTAAAAATCTGACCTTGATTTTTCTCCACCCAGTCCTCCAATTAGTTTTGAAGCTCTTTCAAGTTTCTTAGCACAAAGTTCCACCTGGTCTTCTAAACGAGCTTTTTCCTCAGTTTTCTCAGTAAATGTTTTTTGTAAATTTTCCAAATGATGTTCTACCTCTGCCAATTCATCTCTCTTCTTATTTAAATGGCCCATGGTCTCAGCTAAGGACTTTTGAGCTTCTGCTAAGCGGGCTTTCTTAGGAGCCACTACCTGTTTGGAATCAATACATGCAGATTTGATGTGTAGTATATAAATTGTTATCTATTATAGATTAGGTATGTACTATAATAATAATAATAATAATAATAATAATAAACACAAAGTAAACATTTTACGATAAGTCCTGTATCATTTTTATGCACAAATGATGTAAAATACCTATATATTTTATAAAATCTATATATCATTGTGGACTAGAAAACCATCACCTGTAAACTATATAAATTACTCTTGATTAAGAGAATGTCAGGAGCTGTAGTGGCACAGGGTTAAAGCATTCAGCTGCTAATCAAAAGGTCAGCAGTTTGAACCCACCAGCTCCTCCATGAGAGAAAGATGAGGTAGTCTGTTTCCATAAAAATTTATAGCCTTGGAAACCATATGAGGCAGCTCTACTCTGTCCTATAGAGTCGTTTTAGTCAGAATCTACTCAATGGCAGACTTGGTTTTCCTTTAGCGGAATGTCACAAATAGACAATTTGAATTTTGTCTTAAGATCACGAAAAGTTCCCACTCACGTTTTACCAAAAAAAAAAAAGAGAAAAGTGTGCATTTTGGTTACCTCCTGCTGCTCTAACAGAAGATACCATAAATGGGATGGCTTTAACAAACAGGAGTTTATTGTCTTACAGTTTTGGAGGCTAGAAGTCCAAGTTCAAGATGCCAGGCTCTGGGGGCTGGGTGAAAGCCCCTTGACCTTGAGCTTCAGCTCTGCCTCTTGCTCCTGGCCCACTGGAACTAGATGTTTTGTTCATTTAGGCAGCTGCTAGCTTCTGAAGCTGACAAACCCAAGGTGGACAAGTAAAAAGGCACAGCCCCATATTACCACACAACATGGCAAGCCACTAGTTCAAGTCCAGAGACAGTCCCAAAATTGGCAGGAAACATGGCAGGCTGTTAAATGAAGACTCAGCTACATGCAGGATTCAAGCATGCCAAAAGCTAGAGATCTTCCTCAAAGTTGCTTCTTATATATACTGGACACAGACTACATCCCTAAGGCAGCTACTCAGCTGCTCACAGTACATTCCACCATGGAGTTGATTACCAGTCTCATCAAGGGGAATACTACATCCAGCTGCCCAGCTACCTAAAACCAGCCCAGCCAAGTTGAAACACAACCGTAACTACCACAGTATGTAATAGGAGTAATTGTTGTTTTTGTTATGTGCCATCGAGTCAGCCTCGACTCGTAGCAACCCCTCCTTGGGTTTCCAAGGCAGTATCACTACGGCAGTAGATTGCCCAACCTTCCTTCCAAGGAATGGCTGGTAGGTTTGAACCTCCAGCTCTCTGGTTAGCAGTCAAGTGCCTTAGGCACTAGGCTACCCGAGCTCCTAATAAAAGTAATTAGCTGTTGAAAATAATGAATATGAAACCCCATCTCCATGTCTGTGAAATCCTGAAGAGGAAATGTGTTAAGTAAGGTGACAGACAGTAGATAACTCTACTATCTCAGAGAATAGGTAAGTCTACTTTCTACTTTTGACTTCAGAAGAGACCTTGCTGGACAACTCCTTTCAACCCTTTTGCAATAACGTGGGCCAGCTGCACCAGGATGAAAATGACAATGTGGGAGTGTAAGTTGGCAGGCAGGGGAAAATCTCATGGTCTTGGATTCTGTGCTGTGTAGAAGATACTCAGAAGATTCCACATCCTCTACAACACACGCAGAAATTAGCTGAGTTGAGAGCTAGCTCATCTGCCATGAGACTACTGTGGAGAGGGACCACATGTTCAGTGGAATGGGAATTCCAGAACACTTATATCATGAAGAATCTATATATAGACCAAGAGGCAATACAGAACAAGGGGCTACTGTATTGTTTAAAATCAGGAAAGGTGTGAGTCAGGGCTGTATCTTTTCAGCACACTAATTCAGTCTGTATGCTGAGCAAATAATCCTATATGAAGAAGAACACAGCACCAGGATTGCAGGAAGACTCTCATTAACAACCTGTGATATGCAGATGACACAGCCTCGATTGCTGAAAGTGAAAAAGACTAGAAGCACTTACTGATGAAGCTCAAAGATACAAACTTCGGTATGGATTCTATCTTAACATAAAGAAAACAAAAGTCCTCAGAACTGGACCAGTAAACAACATCAGGATAAATGGAGAAAAGACTGAAGTTGTCAAGTTTCATTTTACTTGGATCCACAATCAACACCCATGGAAGGAGCACTCAAGAAATCAAACAACAGTTCATTAGATAAATCTGTTGCAAAAGACCTTTTAAAAGTTTTAAAGAACAAAGTTGTCACTTTGAAGACTAAAGTGCACCTGACCCAAGCCACTGTCTTTTCAAAAGCCTGATACACATGTGAAAGCTGTTCAATGAATAAGGAAGACCACAGAAGAATTGATGCATTTGAATTTGTGGTGCTGGTGAAGAATACTGAGTACACATGGGCTGCCAGAAAAATGAACAAATTTGTCTTGGAAGAAGTACAGTCAGAATGCTCCTTAGAAGTGAGAATGGCCAGACTTCATCTCTTGTATTTTGGTCCTATTAACAGGAGGGAGTGGCCCCTGGAGAAGGATATCATGCTTGGTAAAATAGAGGGTCAGAAAAAAGGGGATGGCCCTCAACGAGGTGGACTGACATACTGGATGAAATAATAGGCTCAAGCATGGCAACAATTGTGAGGATGGCCAGGACTAGGCAGTGTTCCATTCTGTTGTACACAGGGTTGCTATGAGTCCAAACCTACTTGACGATACCTAACAAAAATGAGGAAACCTCAAAACTAACAGTCAAAGTCCTTACCACTCTACACACACATGCTATACCTCCTTTCCCAATTGTTACAGCCTGATCATTGATTCTCTCCTCTAAGCTTGTTCTACAAATGTGCTACCATGTATTTTTATCTTTATTTTTATTTGTGTTTCCTGCTTCCATGGTATGATGGTTAAGACTGTGTTCAACTCGGCTGGCCATGATTCTCAGTGGTTTGACAGTTATGATGTAGTCATCCCCCACAATGAGATTTAATATAATATAACCATCTCTATAATGAGATCTGCTAGGAGCAGCCAACCAGTTAAAAGGAAGTTTCCTTGGGGGTGTGGCTTGCTTTCTATATATGTGGATGGTTTGGAAAAGCTCTCTGGCTTTTCACTTGATCTGGACCCTATCATCTGACCTCCAGTTCTTTGGATTGTGGTGCTGGTGAAGAATTTGTAGCTGTGTAGGTCAGGAGAAACCTGCAGCCTGATGTCTGACCCATGGACTTGGGACTTGCCAGCCTCTACAACGCCATGAGCATTACTTTGAGATAAATCTCTCCCTCTGTCTCTTTCTCTCTCTCTTTCTTTTTCTATAAATAAGCTTCATTGATTTTGCTTCTCTAGAGAACCCAGCCAAACACATGGCTATAACATTGCAAGCTACTAGAAGATAAGACTTGTCTCTCTGGTCCTTTGTTAGCTGAATATACAAAATGCTCTTAACCATTTTCTACTCTCCCAGGGATTCAAGGTATTCCATAAACAGTTCTCTATTAATGCATATCATTGCCTCAGGGATCTTCTCATGCTCTGCCTACTAACCCTACTGGATCTTCTTGCCTCTGATATTTTCTTAATCCCAGTTCCAGTCTATTTTTAGTTTGCTTCTTTGTTCTTGATGTTTTGCATTTTTCTTTGCTTCTGTTCACCACACATCAAACCTTAATTCCCCTTTGCCAAGTCCTCATAGCTATAGATCAGTCTGGCTGATTCCAATGAGCATCTCTGCTCCTGCAGCATTATTACCCAACTAGGTACTATCACACACAGCACTATCTTTATCTACTAGGCACTCAATCAGTGTTTGTTGACTATGCTGCATCAGGACAAAGTCTTCTTGGAATCACTTTTAGAAACTGCTTAACTAGTAAATATATGCTAATGCTTTAATTTCTGAAACTATTTTAGTAGAAAATGAATGTACTAATCCTCAAAATACCTTTGCAACTCTGTCATACACTTCCATAGCCATGATCCACTTGCATAGACCCTCGGCTGCAGAGGAAGCTTTAGCAATCTTAGGTGGGTCAAATTCAGGGTTTGTTAAGTAGTCAGCACGAATCTTCTGCATAACACTCACCTAACAACACAGATTAAGATTTTCAACTTTCAACATATATCACATAATCATAGGATGAAAGATAATCATACATAGTGAAAATATTCATAGAAAATAATGTTACCCTTGAAAGTCAAAATCAATGCTTTGAGATAGTTTAAAATAAGCACCATTGCAGCAGAAACACAAATCCTATTTATGATAAAAAATATGTAAATTTATTACAGATGTTAAGGTAAGATGTCTTATAAAAAAATTAAAAGACTTGTGGGTTAGGAGAACACACAGAAATAAGGGAAGAGAACAATTACATATTAATAAATAAATAAAAGTTGGATAGAAAAAATACACTGTAGTTTTTATTTTACATAAATTTGTGTATCAAGTGTCTTAATAAATAATTTATAAGGAGATACTTATCAATACACCAGGTCAACAATAGGTAAGACAATAATACACTAAATAGTAATTTATTAAATGACTGTCTAATGGCCTGAAAGAGTAGTGTCTTAAGCATTATGAGAATCTAGATTCATAATATTGAAAAACCAGACTCACTGCCATCGAGTTGAATGTGACTTGGAGCAACCCCATTGGGTTTCCCAGGCTGTAAATCCTTACAGAAGTAGAATGCCTCATCTTTCTTCTGTGGAGTAGCTGGTGGGTTTGAACTACCAACCTTTTAGTTAGCAGTCAAATGCCTTAATCACTATACCACCAGAGCTCCTTAGATTCATAATATAGTCATTAATAAATATAATATCACTTTATATATTATCTATTCCTAAAGTGGATTATCTTTTTATATTTTATTTTATATAACATAGTATAATATTAATATCTTAATACAGCTTGGCAAAGTTACATTTATAGGAAAAAATCCAATAAAACACTCACTGGTATGTTGTCCTTGTCATATTCTCTCAAATCTCTTAAGAAATTCATATCTCCCAGAAGTTTTTTGCTAGGTCCCCAGTAATCTAATATCTATAAATAAAATGTACAGAAACATATTAAATGTACAATAAAAGATGTTCAAAATATTTTTTTTTCTTGAACTTTAAGATATCTACCAGAGAAACTATTTCAAAATACCAGCTTTCAAAATAGCAACTTATATCTCCTTAGAAACGAAGAGCCCCAAAAAACATGTTAAATACATGAAATATTTCAAATGTAGATTGAATTTATTATCAAAAAATAAACATTGAAAAGAAAATGATGTGATTATTTCCCTTTTGAAAGTTTTTTACAAAGCAGGTAGCATAATCATCATATTCATTTCATATAAGAAAAGAAATTTTTAGTATATCAACTTTTATTTTCCTTTATTCTTTGACTCTTCCAAACTGGAAAGTTAGCAAACAGTTTTCTTATAGACAACCTCACCTACCTAGAACTTCCAACTAAAAGAAGGAAGAAGAGAAAGCAGAGAGCCAAAGATTACATGTTGCTCTGCCAGATACAGGATGAAGCACCTGCTACCTATGCTGATAATAGATGTTGAATGACTCACTGAACACTCTTTTTCCCAGTTATAGAAGCCTGACTCTGCATGTATATATTTGTGACAAAGAAAGAGATAGAGAGATAAAAAGAAAAAACAATGAGAATAACTTGATAAGGTAAGAAACCATTTATTTTCCTTATTATCTCTATGAAGGACAGAATAACAGAAAAATAATCCCAATCAATTCAGGGGTTCAAACTCAGGTCTTGTAAAGACCTGTTAAATATATATATATTTTAGGATGGATACTATGCTTTTCTTTTTAAGAGATATATCCTTGTTACACTCCTTAGAACAATCAACCATGGGAGATCAGAAGGGCAGTATTTGCACAGGGAGATAGCTCAAAGGGCACGAATGCATAGGAAAGGACACAGGATAAATGTAACCATTGGGGGGGAAGTGGGGAGAGAGCTGTTATATTATGGGGATTGCAATCAATGTTATGAAACAAAATGTGTATGAACTGTTGTATGGAAATGAATCTTCTCTATAAACTTTCACCCAAGACACAATAAAAAGAGATCAATCCATGAATAATTAAAAGAACAAAACAAGAGTAATAACAGCTAAAATTTATTGTGAGCTTATTGTTTCTGAGGCTTTGTGTATAAGAGCTTTATATGCATTAACTAATCTAACCTTTACAACAGCCTTGTGAGGTAGGTACAATCATTATCCTCTTTTAACAGAGGACTAAAGAGGCTAAACACCTTGCCCAAGACCACACTGCTTTAGGATCAGAATGCTTTTGGGATCAGGATCACAAACAGGATGTCTGAATACAGACATCCTGGCTCCAGAGCACAAGCTTTAAACAACTTCACTTTACTTATTAATTCAGCAGAACTTGTTGAATGCTCAGAAAAAATATCTATCTGTTACATATTACATTCTCAGGAATCTTAGCTGGAAAAAGCACATAAATCTTGGGGCTCATTCAATCCCAACCCTGTTATTGTAGAAAGTCCTATATAGATAGACAAGGAAATGGACGTAACTGGGATCATGTTATTCTGACACTACGCTGCCTTAGCTTTACTTGGAATGCATAACAGTGACAGTGACAGTGTTTTCTACAGCTTATATTGAATCCATTCCATCTGCAAAACAAAATTTCTTCTCTAGGTTAGTTATTATTGACATTTAATTTGCTAACAGTTGTTGCTAATGTGTTGTGTACACTCATGAATATGATTGAAAGCTGTGCCCAGTTATTACCTTGCCTCCAGTTCCTGATGGATCTGTAATTTTTTCTGGTTTTATATCTTTCATGACACAAATAGCAGCCAAAACTAATTTAACACCAGATGGAGGATTCTTCATTGATTTCACAATGGTAATATCAGCTGGCTATATCAAAAGAAAGCAGTTTATTTTTAAATAATGAGAGTTTTAAAAGTAGCATCTAAGCATCGTAAAAGCATCCATTTTCATTCGAATTGTAATCATTTTTTGCTTTGCATGGCTGTGAAAGAATTAACAAAAGAGAATTTAGCACAGATTAAGTTCAATGGTTCCAAAACATTTTGGGGTTCATGGATATTTATGAGGAGCCTTGGTTGTACGGTAAGCACTCAGCTGTTAACGAAAAGGTTGGTGGTTTGAATCTACCAGCCACTCTGTGGGAGAACGATGAGGCAGTCTGCTTCTACAAAGATTTTCAGCCTTGGAAACCCTATGGAGCAGTTCTACTTCGACCTACCGAGTCACTATGAGTTGGAATCGACTCAATGGCAGAGCTTTTGGCTTGGGTTGGACCTTTATGAGAATATGGTAAAAGCTCTAAAACCCTCCAGAGAAAATACTTTTGCACATATACACAAAATATGCATATAAACAAATACCAAACCATACATCTAACCCAGGTTAAACCAAAAATCAAACTCACTGCCATTGAGTCAATTCTGACTCACGGCAACCCCCATTGGGTTTCCAAGGTGGTAAATCTTTATGGAAGTAGATCTCTATGGAAGTAGATTGCTCAGTCTTCCTTCCGAAGAGTGGCTGGTGGGTTTGAACTGCCAGCCTTCTGGTTAGCAGGCAAACACCCTAGGCACTACACCACCAGAGCTCATATTTGCTTGTATACAATATTAATTTTATCTAAGAAGTAAAAGAGGTAGATTCCAATTTCATATATTGTTATGGCAGATACTATGGATTCAAATATTTATTACTCACTCCAATATCCTTCTGACATCACTTACAATACTGCAAATGCTGGAAAAATAACAACTATATATCTTAGTTTCCCATGCAACTAGAGCTGGGGATAGCAATTAGTTCCCAACATCAGATTACTTGAGTGATATTAGAATTAAGGGTTTGCGGTATCTGTTTTGCCTGTCTGGATTACAGTGGAGGTGGTATGGTTCTAGAGACAGCAGCTCTGCAGGAGAGCTCTGTAGGCTTTGGACTCAAAGGGGCCTCTCCTCTGGTAGACCATTTCTACAACATAGCTTTGGAAGTGATTCCTGGCAGCTTAGCCTGTGATCTAATTCTTCACTTCATCCAGCAATTCTGTAATCTATACAATTCCCTAAAGAACCCTTGTCTGCCTTTAATAAATAGAATTGAATAAATAGAATTCTCTCCAACTGGACTCTAAACTCATAAAGAACAATATTTGGAATGTCATCTTCAAACCAAACAATACAAAAAAAAAAACAAAAAAAACACCTCACTGCCATTGAGTCAGTCCCAAGTCACAGCAGCAACCCTTCCTTGGGTTTCTGAGGTGGTATATATACAAAAGTCGACTGCTCAATCTTTCTTCCGAGGAGTGGCTGGTGGGTTTGAACCACCAGCCTTCTGGTTAGCAGTCAAATGCCTTAGGGACTACACCACCAGAGCTCTCAACAGTTTAGCTTAATTAGTAAAGAAATGTCTGCCTCGAGCATTGTGTTTTTTAAAGATCTGTGTGGGATCAAATTGACAACTGCAGCTCAAAAGGTTAGACAGGAAGCTTAGGGGGCTGTGAGTCTATGTAAATTGTTAGAAACAATTTGGAAATGGAAGGTGGGAAGGCTTGCACAACTTGAAGAATGTAATCAATGTCATTGATTTGTACCTGTGGAAATTGTCTAATTGATATATGTTTTGCTCTAGATATTTTCAACTATAATGAAAATAAAATAAATTGCTTTAAAAAATTATCCATATACTACATTTTAAAAGTCTGGAGGAATAGAAACCTCCACAGTTTTCACAGTGGTTATTTGGTAAGGAAGGAATTGTTGATAACAGGTGAGTGAGTGAGTACTTCTTTTTTATTCTTTTCTGTATATAATGGATATTTTATAAGAAGTATTTATTACTTATATATATGAAAAAAACCTTTAAAAATCTAAACAAAACAAAATACAATATTTGGTATCAGTAAGGATACAAGCAACAGAATCTCAAGGAAATGGGAATGTCATATTAATGACCTGAATTGGTGGGGTTTGAAGGCATTGAGGAGCCGGTGAGTATCAGAGGATGGGGTGCTGAAAGTCCATGATGCACACTGATAGAAAAGTTACTTATGTTAATAGTTATGATCGCCTACAATGGACTGACAAGGCTTTGTCAGGTTGAGTGGCTACTGTGATAAAACCTTTGAGAGTGACAAAACATGTGGCCTTTAAATGTGCCAAAAAGCTTTCTGGGGTTCTGGCAAGATGGTGGAATAGGCAGAAAGACTGCACAGACCCTCTTCAACAAAGAAAAGGGAAACCAATTAACACAGACACAGAAGATAATCTTGAACCCCTGAGCCTTGAAGGAAAGGATGTAGAAGTGGACTAAACCCCAACTAGTAGAAGAATTTGCATGAAAATTCCAAAAAAGAAGACATACAGAAGTGCAGTCTGGCAGCGATCCTGAGCAATCCTGACAGCACAGACAGCTTGGAGATTCCTGAGTGGTGGTAGGACCTAAGAATTAACCTAAAAATCAGCTCTGCTAGTCAGGGACTGCACAGAGGACTGCTCTGGTGGCAGGTGAATAAATGGAGAAGGTGAAGAGAAAAGCAGGCTGAGCTATGGACTTTTGCCAGTCCAGAGGATGCTGCCATTCTGAAGGTTTAAAAGCGGCTTGACTATTTTAGATATTTAAAGAGACAGCGCTCTTGCAGATTCTGGGGCTTAAGAACACATTCTGCTTTCCAGCAACCCCAAGGATACTTCAGACCTGCAAGACTGAAAAGGTACCGCGTTCCTCGTTACTCTTATATCCCACACCCGGTTGGTGAATGGAGGTGCAGCCATCCCTCACTCCCACCTACCTTCTGGGCCCACAGAAACTCCATCACAGTCTGTGTGTTCAGACGGAGCCTGGGTGCCCCGCCCTGTCCTCCACCGATTTTTTTTTCCCTTTTTTAATTTTTGCTTTCTTTTTTCTGGTGATTAGTTTGCTTGCATTTGTTTGTATTAAAACAACTATTATTATTAATACTTTTGTCCTTTCTACTATTATTCTTAATCTTCCCCTCCCAGGCCCTAGTTTTCAGCATTTTTTCTTTTCCCTGTTCCTGGTTGAAATTTTTTTTTTTTTTTTA